CATCAAAGACATTGAAGAGCTCACCTCATCACATGCCTCATTAGCCACATCAAAGGAGCCTTTAACAGATGAATTTAAAGATAAAGAATCCAAATTGATTTTAGAAATAGAACATGAAAAATTACAACATCTACAATTTAGAAAAGAAAATGAGACTTTAACAAATGAATTTAAAGATAAAGAAACTAAAATGTTGTAGGAAATTGAGCATCAAAAGTTACAATAATTAGAATTATAAAAAGAAAATGAATAATAAATGAGTGAATTTAGAGATAAATAATCTAAATTGATTTTAGAAATAGAAAATGAAAAATCACATCATCTATAATTAAAAAAAGAAAATGAGAAATTAACATGTGAATTCAAAGATCAAGAAAATAAAATGTTGGAGCAATTTGAATAAGGAAAATCACAACAAATGCAATTATAAAAGGAAAATGAAAAATTAACACATGAATTTAAAGAAAAAGAAATCAAAATGTTGAAAGATGTTGAACATTAAAAACTACAATATTAACAAATATAAAATGAAAATGATAGATTAACTAATGAATTCAAAGAAAAAGAAACTAAAATGTTGAAGGAAATTGAATAAGAACAGTTATAAAATAAGGAATTATAAAAGGAAAATGAAAGACTAACAACGGAATTCAGAGAAAGAGAAGCTAAAATGTTAAAGGAAATTGAAAATGAAAAATTGTCATATATACAATTATAAAAAGAAAATGAGACTTTAACAAATGAATTTAAAGACAAAGAAACTAAAATTTTGTAAGAAATTGACCATGAAAAGATTCAACATTTGCAATTATAGAAAGAAAATGAAAAATTAACACATGAATTTAGAGATAAAGAATCTAAATTGATCTTAGAAATTGAACATGAAAAACTACAGCTTTTACATTAAAAAAAAGAAAATGCAAATTAAATAAATGAATTTAGAGATAGAGAAACTAAAATGTTGGAAGAAATTGACCATGAAAAGCTTCAACATTTGCAATTATAAAAAGAAATTGAAAAATTGACAAATGAATTTAGAAATAAGGAATCTAAATTTAATTTAGAAATAGAACATGAAAAATTACAACATCTATAATTAAAATAAGAAAATGAAACTTTATAAAATTAATTCAAAGATTAAGAAAATTAAAATGTTGAAGGAAATAGAACATGAAAAATTATAATACATACAATAATAGAAAGAAAATGAAAAATTCATTAATGAATTTAAAGACATAGGAATTTAAAATGCTGAAGGATATTGAACATGAAAAGCTTCAACATCTACAATTATAAATAGAATTTGAAAAATTGACAAATGAGTATAAAGATAGAGAAACTAAAATGCTGAAGGAAATTGAATAAGGAAAATTACAATATGCTGAATTATAAAAAGAAAATGAAAGATTAATAAGTGAATTCAAAGATAAAGAAACTAAATTGCTGTAGGACATAGAAAATTAAAAATAATAGAATTAATAACTTATATTAGGTAAAGATATGTAAGGAAATGAATTGTTGTAAATATAACAAAAGCTAAACCTTGAAATTGATAATTTAAAATAGTAAATTTAAAATTTAAATGATTAACTTAAACTACAATAATAATAATTTGATGAGAAAGAGAAATAAAAAAATAAAGAAATAGAAGAACTCAAATTATTACATGTTCAATTGGAAAAATAAAATGAGAATTTAACAATTGAATTTAAAGATAAAGAATCCAAATTGATTTTAGAAATAGAACATGAAAAATTACATCATTTAAAATTAAAAAAAGAAAATGAGACTTTATCAAATGAATTTAGAGATAAAGAAACTAAAATGTTGTAGGAAATTGAATAAGGAAAATTACAACATGTGGAATTATTAAAAGAAAATGAAAAATTAACAAATGAGTTTAAGGAAAGAGAAAATAAAACGTTAAAGGATATTGAACATGAAAAGCTTCAACATCTAAAATTATAAAAAGAATATGAAAAATTAAAATAATGAGTTTTAAGAAAAAGAAACAAAAATGTTGAATGAAATTGAATATAGGAAAATTACACAATTTAGAATTCCTAAAATGAAAATGCAAAAATTACAAATGAATTCAAAGATAGAGAAACTAAAATGCTGAAGGAAATTGAATAAGGAAAATTACAATATGCTGAATTATAAAAAGAAAATGAAAGATTAAGAAGTGAATTCAAAGATATAGAAACTAAATTGCTGTAGGACATAGAAAATTAAAAATAATAGAATTAATAACTTATATTAGGTAAAGATATGTAAGGAAATGAATTGTTGTAAATATAACAAAAGCTAAATCTTGACTTT